CTATTCCTGCTTCAGCGCCTTCGTCATGCAGTAGCCTTTACTGTAACTTTGCCGTGTAGCGGAATGAAATGATGTTTCCGATAACCTTCATGGGCAGATGTTCGGATACATATTTACTTGGGAATTCTTACAAAAGCACCGCCATTTCAGATAATACCGTGGTCGTTGAATGCGTTGAATATTAGGATGTCTCAAAAGTCTTTTCAAATTTTGTTCTTTACTGCCATAAGTAATTTCTTCGTAAATTTCTCATAGCAATTAGGGCACCATTCGGTAGAGCAAAGCATTCTCTACAAGATGACTTTTAAATATCCACACCAAGTGTGATCCACACAAAGATTGAATCCGAAATTAAAAGGATCCAAAATATCCCTTGAAAAAACCGCTTCCCCAAATGTACAAACTTCCAGAATGTTGTAGCATATAACTTCCACATCAAACATTCATGCACACACTTGCTGTCTCCATTGTTAGGAATCGAGAAAATAAAAATTTGCATTTTTTCGTAAAAGCTATGGTGGGCTGTACCTTAAAGTATGCACCTTGCGAATACCAGTACAGATTTTCAGCTTTTCGTGTGCCTTCGTTCTCGAGAAACGATTAGAAAGAATAATGAATTTAGCATGAAAAACTTTCTGCTGTTTTGATTTTGGAATATTTTTTCGATTTCTGGCCATGAAAAAACTCAGCAAATGTAAACATAAATAGCTTAGGTGGGGACTATATGTATAACTGAGCAAGTTAAAGGCCTTCACAAATCTTTTGCGATCTTTCGAATGTCATCTTGTAGAGCTTGCAAACAGTCATTTTAGCTCTAATTTAAAAAATTGTGGTAGCTGATTTTCACCGATATGAAAAGACTTTTGGGACAACCTAATAGATGAGACCATAATGATCTAACCCTCGCTAATCATGTGGTCATCAATTCATCGGTTTACAGTGAATACGCAGTAGCGCGGTTATAGGAAAGGAGATTACACGTCATCGGCTATTCGAACGACACACGTCATTTTCTGTCGATGACCGGATTTAACCGTTTGTGTTGTTCGCGAAAGTACCGATAGGTATTCAGCCAGTAGCTGGGAAAGGTGTCTTTCGCAAATTGATGAACCCGTTTAAGTATCTTTAGAAATTTTAAATTATCATGACACTTCTAGACAATATGTCTTTCAATCCCCACCCCCCGAGAAA